AGATCTTCATCCAAATGAATTAAAACATCTTCAGATGTTTCTGAAAGTAACAATTTATGCACAATGCAAGTTGAGTATTGCAGAAGCTAAAGATGAGACAGTTTAATTCTTATATAATAAGGCCATTTGAAGATTGTGCAACACTGAATTAAACTTTGATAAGAGTTGAGGTTTGGGATAGTAGTTAAAGCATCAGGCTAGAAACTGGAAGACCCTGAATTCTAGTCCCCCTACCAGCTGACTGACCTTAGACTAGTTACCATTTCTCAACCTTAGGAAGGAGTCAATGGCAAACCATTTCTGAAATCTTGTTAAAAATACTTCAGGACTTTTCCTGATTGGAGTCAACACTAGGAGTCAACACTGACTCAAATGCATCAAAAAATAAAGCAATTATTCCTTTCTGGGTCTTATTGCATTCCTAAATCCTTTGAATATTCTTTGATTATAGATGGCTTCTCAGTGAGACATTTTGGTTTCTTTTGTGATCCTGGCTTGTATTTAAGTATACTGTCTGTAATCTGTTATCCTATGGTTCATACTTCCTCGTTCATATAAATTAGCATTCTAACACATAAACTTAAATGTATAAGAATATACAGCCAAATGCTACCATGAAAATGCATGTTGTGTTCAAAGTAGATTTGTGCATTTTTATTTCACTAAATTTGGAATCTTTCCTATGGGATCAATATATGCTATGATAGTGTGAAGATATGGAAAAGGCCCTTCTTGGTTTTAGCATTGGTATTAACACTCAAACAGGGGATTCTTTCCCCTGAGGAAAGTGTAATTGACTCCCACGCTGGTGAGTTTTGAATATCTTGCCAAAAACCTACTTTTATCACATTTTGATTTGCTACACAATATTATCTTACATTTTTTTTAAAAAAAAGGAGTGGCTTTGAGTTGTTAATTTTATTATTTCACTCTTCTTGTAATAAAATAGAAGTGTCACAATCTTAGCAGTGCTGGTATAGGGCCTTCTGCACAATTCTGTGGAAACCCTTAACCCATAAGCAGAAAGCCAAAATAAAAATGTTGTTTAGCTTTAATTCTAATGTGTCCCATTGTAACTACATCAATGATACATAATCAAATTTATATCCAGAAATCCAATGATGCAGCTAGACAGTGGGTTCTGAGTGGCTACCATCAGAGGTTAATGCATCATTTTCCACTACTGTATAGTTCTTATTTATCATAAGCTACAAGGACTCATGATAGTGCTGAACACAAAATTCTTCGTGATAGTTCCCTGCCCATGTCTGCCTAACACAATTCTCTCTTGGTGTCTATGGAGATTCTCAGTCATCCAGGTCATGGTTGTCTCAAAGATGCTTTTTTAAAAGACAACTGGACTTCGCTTTTTTCTTGAGGATGTTTCACTTATCATCCAAGAAACTTCTTCAATTTTGACTGAAGCTTCTTGAATGAGAAACGAAACGTCTTCAAGGGAAAACGAAGTCCAGTTGCCTTTTGACAAAGCACCTTTGGGACAATTCTGTCTTGAGATCTGTGTGTATTCAAATAATTAATGGATAGAAACATGCCCTGTACATTTCATGATGACTACCAACCTATCCATCTGCAAAGCCCTTCTTAGATTAGAAAAACTGAAGAATCAGATTCCTTGCTTTGGAGAGAAAAAAAAAGGCTTATATCTTTGGGGTGGTTACCCAGTGAAAAAGAAAGATACTAAATCTTAAGGACTCTTAAGTTCTTTGGTATGTAAGAAGACTTTTGATAAGATCTACAGCACTGAAAGTCTGTTATGCTAGAAGAAGAAATGGTTCAGCTAATGTTTCCTACTTTTTAGGGACTTTTTTTTTTTTTTTTTTACTCCTTTGGTGAATTGCTCATGACCCAACTTCAAGTCAGGAGAAAAATATTCCAGCATGAAATTTGCTGTGTAACACAGGTATAACTAAGGACAACTTTAAGCCTGTCTCACTCATGAGCTAGGATGAGATGAAAGCAATGTCATAGAGATACAGCAGGAAAAAAAAAAAGTTGCCAGGGCATGTTTGTGCCATGATTAGGTGAAATCTGAAAACAAAACTTAGTTTATTTAAGAAATCAGATTAATGTTAGTCCTTGGAATCAGGATGGCACAGCAGTGCACATTCAGCCTTTTAAATAATCAAGTAAAAATCATCCTTTATAGAAAATTTTAAAGTGAATATTGCACAGATTAACTTGACTCTTTTAGATATAGTGCAAGTCCGCCCCCCATCCTGATGGGAAGGTGTATCAGCACAAATCATATTAGGATAAACTCAATTTAATTATGCCCAAAAGTTAGTTTCCTGGGATTATTCATTCTCTATGAAAATGAGAGGGAATCTTTAAGGAATTCTAATGAGGAGAAGGAAATTTCTGACAAACTTACAGGTTGGTTTACCTTAAATTCCAGGTGGCTAACAATGTTTGCTCTTTTTTCCTTTGGTATTTATGTATAAAGTTTAGAGAGCTACCCACTCAATTGTGTCTGGGCAGCTTGCAATTAAAAACAGCCATACAATTTTACTCCAGTAAGCTACTAAGATCAGATAAAAATGAGCAAATTTTAAAAAGTACTAGACATCCAAAGAACAACTCATCACCTCATTGCTTGGAGAAATATATTTATGAATTTATGTATGCATTTATTTTCCAAATTGCCAGTGGCATACCTGGCAATTCCAGAATGTCACCGTGAATACCTCTACATACTCCCATAGGTTTTTGGGTAAAAAATACTTTGCCACCATGACATAACCTTTGGTGGTATCCTGAAGAAATTAACACTGATTTAAAAAAAAGTAAGGGAAAAATATGTTACTCACCTAATTGGTTTTCCACTTCTATTAAAAGTTCATGATCAAAGCCTGACATAATCACCATACAATTTTATCCCTCACAGTCCAGATGATATTGGTGGCCTAGAAGATCATTGGTCATGCTGTTTCTATAGCATTCCTTCTCAACAGAGTAACTTAGGTAGCTTTTATATTAAAAGTATTGAAATACATCAAAAAGAAATAGAGACTGGACAACTCCCCCCCCCCATCCTACCAGTGCTGTTTGTATTGAGCAAGAAATTGGAGAAGAGGACCTCCGATCTTTCTCCCAACATTACAATTTGAAGATTTCTCAGGAATTAGTCTGTTGAGAACCTACAAGTTTTCAAGATGGTTCACCGAATTTTGGCTCCTCAGCATTCAAAATGTGATGTCAATAAAGTGATATGAATTTCAACAGAAGCTTTCTATGCAAAGTGTGTATAAAGTATTTACTACATTTTCAACCACAATTTTAAAAAAGATGTTGGAAAAAGTTGCCTAGAATATCAAAGATATCAAAGGTTTCCATAAATGTCTCCCTTTGATGATGATTGCAGTTTGGGGCCTACAACTTTATCAGACAATTATTTTCTGAAAAATTATCAGGTTAATAGAATCGGTTTGAAATGGCTATAAGAACATTTATTACATTTAATTTTCATGTATTAATTTGTCTTTTAAGTTGGAACTTTTAAATACAGAATTCAGAAGACAATCTTTCCAACATAGAATGGGAGAAATTGTAGTATCAGTAATTTTTTTCAAAATAAACACAACCAGAACCTTCCAACCCAAAAACTACCTATATTTTTAAGGCCCTGTAACCAAAATATGACACTACGAAAATCAACCAATGCTTAAAATAAGCCATTTGAGGTAAACTTTTCCTTTTTCCCTTTTGCATTTATTTCTAAAGTAAAACTTCCATTATAGGTTTGCCATTGTTAAACATGATAGGGAAATGGGCAAAATAAAAGCAAGGACTGGGGTGGGAAAAATAAGAGGGGACCAAATGGGAAGTAATAGGCCTGAGGCAAATAATGTGTGTTTCCTCTTCTTAAATTCTAACTCTTGCCCAGCATGCCACGATTGGCCATTTCTCAAAGAATCACATTAGCTCTTCTTCAATATGGCAGGTGAAAGGGAAATGAAGCTAGCAAGCATTAAAGCATCTGCTTTACTGTTGCCAAATATTTATTACAAAAGGGAGGAGGAAATATAGAGCTTGCAGCACTATGGACAAGGCTCTTGGGATAAGAGCAGCTCGGTATTGGGCAGGGCATTGCTACTTCTGACACCAGCCTGCTAATCAGAGAGTCCACAATGTTTTAAGTGCAAGGCACCGAGTTCTACAGCACAGCCTTTAAGCAAGAGTAGCAAACCCCGCGTCCCACGCCGTCGCCTGACATCTTCTCCCGACTACAACCTTTGGGCTTGTTTCTTCTGACATTAAGGGCACACACCCATCCACCCCACACATATACACGCGTGTACACACGCGCGCGCATACACGCCATATATAATCGACGAGGAAGCCAAACATCCTTCCAGTCTCCGCGTCAACATTCCCCTCAGTGAAGAGGCTGGGAGGCTAATGCAGCGCATGCCATCACTACGGCTGTGGGCTCTAGCGGCAAGGAGCGGCGTCCCTGTTCTCGGAGAGATGGTTGGCTCTGCGAGGTGCCCTTGGCCCAGAAGAAGAAACCACGCTGCTGCAGCACGGATTTAAAAATAATTAAAAAAAAAAAAAATACCCGACCACGCAGTCCCGCTATGGCCGCCTTAAGCAACCCCACGCCGCCCTCCCTCCCTTCCTTTAATAGATTTTCTTGCACTGGTAAAATGCTGTGAGTGGAGAGAGGGATGTGGGGGGGAGGGGGGGTAACCTTCCTTGGAACGGAGCCCCTCTCCCCTTCCTCTCCTTCGATTCCCTCGCCTCTGCAGCATTATAAACAGCAAGGCAAATGTAGCCATTCGGATTATGGGGAGGAATGGCACGTACGGCTCACCCCAAAGCAGATAAATACATAACGGAGGCAGGCGCTCGCCAGCATTTTCCTTCCAGCCTTATGCATTTCTCATCGGGCACCGTCTCCCCCACCCCCACTTCATTATCGCACCCCCCCCTCCAGCTTTTCCCCAGCCCTCCGTAGCAAAACAGAAAACGCGGCTTACCCCTGGATGAGGGATAGGAGTAGTAGTGTCCGCAGCATCATTTTGAGAGAAGACACTGCTGTATCCAGCAACGAGAAGCTGCCTGGGCTCGGCGGGTTTGGGATCGGCGAATTTGAAGGACTCATCTCTCTCTCTCTCTCTCTCTCTCTCTCTCTCTCTCTCTCTCTCTCTTTTCAGCCCCCCACCACCATCACACACACACACACTCTCCCGCCCCCTTTCCTCAGTCGTAGACAAATCCGTCCCCTTCTTTATTTAGTGATTTGTAGTGTGGAAGGTGGTGGAGAGAGAGAGAGCCCCCCCCCCCCGCTCCGTCTCTCCCTCCCTCCCTTTACCAGGTCCCGCTGGTGGGATGAGCCATTGCGCTCGCTCGCTCTCTTCCCTTCAGCCGAATTAATTTTCGGGGCGGGGGGTTCAAAAAGCAAATCGCTTCCTTATCCTTTCTTTATGTATAGGTTCCAAAAAAAAAAAAAAAAAACCCGGCAGCTTCCGAGTTGGCATGAATTGTACCACTAGAAGCCAGCGAGCGTGTGCATGTGAGTGAAGGATGCTCACGTACACACACACACACACACACACAGTTGGAGTGGGGAGGGGGAGAGGCGACGGATCCTCTGCGATCTATTCCCCCCAGAAGGGATCGGCCTGGGGAAAGAGATCGGAAAGTGGAGGGGGGGGGAGGCCTTTGCCCGGATTAAGCCGCGAGGTCAGAGGGGGAAACGCGGCACCCGAGGTTGCTGCCACTGCCGCAGCACTGCTTAACACATGCGTGGTACCAGCTGTGCAATTGCTCCCCCTTCCCTCTTCAGCACACGCGTGCGGGGCCGTCTTGCAGCACCGAGTGGTTTTCCACCCTTGCCAGGTAGCCAGGTATAAATCTTCCTTCTCTTTTTTCTAAAGTGAAGTAAAAGTGCAGTCTCTTTGCAGCTCAGTTCTGCTCTTGATGATCTATATACAGTTTGCTTGGCAACAGCTTCACAGTCTTTCCCAATGCAACTCATAGCTCTGAGATTTCTTAGTGGTCTCTTATTCAAGGACTAAGCAGGCCCACGGCTGCTGAGCTTTTTCAATGACACAAAGTTATTCATCTAACTGCCTCTACCTGAGCGAAGGAAGAGGACCCGTCCCTTGAATCTTTCACACCCTTCAAACAAGTGTATTGAGAGGCATGGTGGGGGTGGGGAGTGAAGAGGAATAAATCTGTTCTGGTATGGCCAGAGAGATGCATGATGATGGACATTATTTTCCACAGAAATGGATCTGTGGTTTCAAGGAAAATGTGTGGCTGTTTAAAGGGAGAGTGGCAGTATAAGATGCACACTGCACTGAGGTCAAAAAGATTATTTTCAGGGGCATCCAAATGGGGGAGGGGGGAGGATTGCGCATGGTTTCTGTTTCTGTTCCATTTTGAAATAAATAGATTGGTTTGCTAGCCCTTCACAAGGAGGGAGGGGGGAGGGAGGGAGGGAGGGAGGAAGGAAGGAAGGAAGGAAGGAAGGAAGGAAGGAAAGGAAGGAAGGAAGGAAGGAAATAAGGGTGATAGTCCATCGGACATATGTCCAGATAAAATTTTGCCTTGCAGAAAGTTCCTCCAATATGTAAGATATGGGCAGAAGAGCAAGTAAAGTAGGTTTTTTGGGTAATCTATGAGTAGACAGGAAGAGAAACAAGCCAGTGAGCAGAGCTGAATAAACTTCTTGGATGAGAAGTGAAATGTCTTCAAAGAAAAGCCAGAAAGTCCAGTTGCTTCTTGAAAATAAGCACCTTTGGTACAAGCCAATGAGCAACACATGAGTGGAAGACTTATCCAGGCAGTCTCCAAGAACTGAAGATGATTGAATTGAAGAAAAAGAAAGAAAGAAAGAAATGGAAGAAAAAAATTAAACAAAATAGAGAGCAACTCTGTCAATGGGGTATAATTGACTGACTATTGGGGGCGAATCATTGGCCCCCACGGAGAGGGCTCGCAACTTGGGCGTCCTCCTGGACTCATGGCTGTCTTTAGAAGAGCACTTGACGGCCGTGACCGGGAGGATTTTTTATCAGGTTCGCCTGATTCGCCAGTTGCGTCCCTTTCTGGATCGGGATTCGTTATGCACGGTCACTCATGCCCTCGTCACCTCCCACCTGGACTATTGTAATGCTCTCTACATGGGGCTCCCCTTGAGGAGCACCCGGAGGCTCCAACTGGTGCAGAGTGCGGCCGCACGGGTGGTAATGGGAGCGACATGGCGCTCCCATGTAACACCTCTCCTGCGCAAGCTGCACTGGCTCCCGGTGGTCTTCCAGGTGCGCTTCAAAGTTTTGGTTACCACCTTTAAAGCGCTTCATGGCTTAGGACCTGGTTATTTACGGGACCACCTACTACCACCAATAGCCTCCCACCGGCCAGTACGCTCTCATAGAGAGGGACTCCTCCGGGTCAGTGTCGCCAAACAGTGTCGACTGGTGGCCCCTAGGGGGAGAGCCTTCTCTGTGGGGGCACCTACCATCTGGAATGAGCTCCCCCCGGAGATTCGGAGGATCCCGGATCTGCGCTCCTTCCACCGTGCTGTGAAGACCTTTTTATTCCATCAGGCGGGCTTGGCCTAATTTCTTCCCTTTTTAAATATGTAAATTTTAATCTGTTTTTAAATTATTGGGGTGTTTTAATCTGTCTGGGCCAAAATGATTTAATTTGATTTTATCTGGTTTTTAAATTTTTTGTATTTATGTATTTTATTGTTGGCTGTTCACCGCCCTGAGTCCTTCGGGAGTAGGGCGGTATACAAATCAAATAAACCTAAACCTAAACCTAAATCATAATGTCGGGAACATTTAGGTAGAAAAACAAAATAGATCAATTTTCATTGATAATTTGACAGGCATCATTTTAATGCCTGTCAAATGACAGGATTTAGCTTTTCTTTCACTTCATGACTTTCAGTTCAGTGATGAAAAGCCTGATCCAAAGTTCATGAAAAAGTCAGAAAAAGCACTTACTACACAACACAGCTTAACACCTTTAAGGGAAGCCTCCTTTGAGGCTTTGATGACTTCATGTTCATGTCATTGTAGTTTGCTCATAATAATATGAGAGTGATTTGCCGTTGCTTTCTTTCATAATATTTTTCAACTTCCCAATGTGCCTACAGACATTTTCTATTTACACATTCAAAACTGCTGGTGAGAAGGACAAAAGTAGAAATGTGATTGTGGTCAGTTTTCTTCGCCCTAAGTAACTGCCAGTAACTTTTGTTTTACTTGAGTTAAATTTTTGTAGTAGAAAATTAGACCTTTTAACTTTGAAATGAAATGACAATATTCTTAACTACTATATTAATTCAAAAAGCTGCAACTCAAATTTGTAATCAGCAAGTCTTTTATTTGAAGTAGCTGCTGTTATAATTAGCTTGCAATCACCAATGTAATCCCTGGTACACCCTTTAATGCCAACTAAATTCCCAGTCCAATCCAACATTAAAAATCCTTTATTATAAAAAGCAAATTAATTAGGATGTGGGCATACCACAAAGCAAAGCATCAGCCACCAGGATATTTATTGTAGGATTGCCTTTGTACCCTGAAAGCTAGAATGAGAAGGGAAAATATTTGAGGTTTGTTTGCTTTTGGTATATTAAATCTTGTAGGCCTGAAGTGAAAATATCTAAACAACCATTACATGGCAGAAAAAGTTTGGATGCGCTATCCAGACACTTGGATTTTAGCCACCCAGATCTGGGAACTCTAGGTTTGTGATTGACCATGCTCACTGCAGCAGCTATATGTGAATGGACAACTCTCCCAAGACCACCAGATCTTTCCAAATAGATTCCCCCAAAGTGTCTACTCAAAGCTAACAAATTACAGTATAGAGGAGAATTCTGGGAAATGAAGTCCACACTTCTTAAAAGTGCTGAGGTTGGTAAATGCTGTGCTAAAGGTTCTTTTGCACATCTACAAGATGGTGCCCGTAAGTAAGCAAACACACCACAGAGACTATAGTTCCTTCAATATTTAATGGATTTCCATGGAAATTACTTCAGTTAATTTCATATTAAGTAATAGAAATATTCTGTTTCAGCTGTAGAATGTTATAGACCTCATATTTTTTTTTAAAAAAAATGGTGAATTCAGATAAGAAGGTAGTGCTATTCCTGTACTATCACCAATGGAGAAAACCAAACGGCACCTTAAATACTGAATTTGTCACATATCATTTTGGGCAGCTTTTAGCCACTTCCCCATCTTAACTGAACAGAGATCTAAGCAGACATCAGTACTAAACAGTTTTCTCTGCTGGAAAACTGAATTACCTGCCGACTTGGCCAAAACGTAATCACGTTGTGGCAAAGCTATGTTGTGACTCCACAAGAGATATGTCTCAGCACATCTGTTGAAAGGAAGCACGGTCACAGAATCTCTGTAACATTCACATGGGATTATTAATCGGGAATAAACTTGTTGCAGAGCTGAGTCCTGCTGCTCTCACACCTTTCCTTTATGTGTAGATGCTTGCACTGCCAACAGTTATTCCAACCTGCTAGGGAGTTTCACAATGTGCTCCATTACTGTGAAGTCATGCTTTCAACACCACTGTCATTTGGCAGTCAGCGAGTGCTATCTTCAATCATGTGAATGGAGAGAAAGATTGGCATCTGGAAGATTTATATTTGAGGACTATTTTCTATATTGCAACCTTTTAGTGTTTGCTGGAAGCCCTGATTTCTTGTACTTAAACCACATTAGGATGAAAAGAAGTTCCACCCAGCACTTAATGTGATTAACAAATGATTCCTTCTGTCAGGATCAGGATCCTTTTACAATGGTTTCTTAAAAGTAACTTGTATTCACTTTCAACATTTGCTAATTCAGAGTTTCTGGGTTGTGTTATTTTGTTTAAGAAATGGGGAAATATTGGAAGTAATACTATTTTAAAAATCTAAAAATATTAACTCTTTTTCCAGTGTGGAGTTAAAAATCAACCCATGCTGTAATTGCTAAAATTGCTCAATTTTTTTTTTTTTTGCTGCAATCTATTTTTTACAGAAGCTAGTGCATATCTGCATAAACTTGCACTCTAAAAATCGGGTCTCAAAACATACCAAGGAAATACAGTAAATACTGAAATGAGATTATTTAGCAATAAGATTACATGAGTCATCTGTAAAGTACATGTGAACATAAAACTTGACAGTTACCCAGAACAGGACTAGAGGAAATGTCACTTTGGGCTCATCAAGCAAAAGCAACCCAATAACAATAATAATCTAGTCAGGAAGGTGCAGTTTTGCTTGGTAAATGCAGCCTCCAATAAACTATAGTATTCTACTTTTACAAAACACTAGCACTTTGGGTTCCTTTGCTCCTCCTTTCGCTCAAGACATTTCTGTCAAAGAAAATACCTTTAATAACATTCAATGTTGCCAGCTCTACGTAGACTAGATCTGTAGATCTAATTTTGAGTTCTTGGAGATTTGATAAAAAGTCAGCCCTGTACAGATCGGATCTGAATGGAAAAAGGAACGTTTGTAAATATATCTCCTGTCTAGGACTCCCTTAATCCTTGCAGCAACATCTCAGGATTAGGTGCTGCCTTCTATACTTTTTGAGTGACCCAGGGAAAAGATTAAAAAATGAGAAAGGAAATGAGAAGCAAACTCTTACAGACCCTTTTATTACAAGGATGAATTAATATTGTTTGGGGGAGAACACAAATCACATGGAGATGTTGCTTCAGAAG